GGGAGGAGGGGATGAGTGAGTGAGGGAGGGAGGGAATGGGTGAGTAAACAGGCTGGTGTCCTTACCGACTTTTCAGTCTGCCCAGCCGAGGACTGTCAGAGCTCCTGGTAAAGGGAACAATGACCCTCTTTGTTCAGAAAAGAGAAAAGCAGAGGCAGGAGCTCTCCTTCCAGGGAGCTTCAAGTGCTCTATTCACAAAGGCCTAGATCAGCCCTTCACCTTGCAGTCGGCACTCCACCGAGGGTCAGAGGGACCTGTCACTTTGCCACCCAGCAAACCACTGTCTCCCAGAGGGACAGGGACCCATCCGTGCAGCAGGCTGACTGCCCACGAGCACCCTGAGGGTCAGGACGCGGAGGCCCGGTGGAGGGTGTCGATTGCAAGGTGAAGTGTTAATTGTCACTTTGGCTCGAATCTTGTTGCGACCACAGTGCTCAGCTCCCCAGCCCCGGGAGCTCGTGCTCAGAGGCTGGGCAGTTAGAGGTTTTGAAGGGAGTTGATGTAGTAAAGAAAACGGCAAGTAGATCTCAGTCGGGTTGACACTTGACACAGCAGAAACGGGGAAACCCTGGACCAGATCTCCCCCGAGCTTTCTTTCAGTCGGAAAATCTGCACCTCGCCTCCTGGGCGCCAGGCTCTCCCTGTGCTGGGCAGGCGCTGAGGGTCAGCCGTCCGGGTTCCCTCAGGGGACACCGCCCTGGGGCTGCGGCCCTGCGGGGCACCTTCCTTCCTGTCCTCGGGCCTCCTTGGTCCCTCCGCCCGCAGCCACAGTGCCCACTGTGTTCCAGCCGCGCCTGAGCCCGCTCGCTGGAGCGNCGGTGCTGGCGGGCGGCTGGGAGCCCCGGGGTTAGGGGGAGAGGGTCCTGGAGGAAGCCTGGTTCACCTACTTACAGCCGAGCGCCTTTTGCTCCTCTGAGCCTGTTTCCTAATTTGCAAAATTAGGCCGCTATCTCAGGCCTGTCCCTGCCTCCTGAGCTCATTTTGATCAAAAACAAAACAAAATAAATGACAAAAACAAAACAAACCACACGCATCTCGTGGGAAAGTCTTCTGTAAAGAAGAGTGGATGGAACGCTCGGCCGAGCCCGAGCCCAGCCAGGCAGAAACCCTGCTCCCCCAGGAGCCGTGGCGTCTTGGAGAGGACTGGCCTCCAGCCCGCAGAGCGAGGGTGGCCTCGGAGGCAGGAGGCTGTGTGGCCGCGTGGGGTGTGAGACACGGACCAGGCACCATGATGGGGTCAGGGACCCTATTCCTGAGGCCAACCTGAGCCCGTTCTTTCCCAGGTCTGAGTCTGGAGTGGGCGCCGAGCCTGACCTGGTCCACATGGAGGCCCATGACCCTCTAGGAGGTAAGCCAGGGCGAGGGAGGGGGCACAGATAGCTGTCCTTGAGGGTCCTCACCCTGCAGCCAGGCTCCCTGTGCCCATGTCAGCCGCTCGTCCTCGGCGACTGGTCCTGCCCAGCCGACCTCACGTGCTAGGATGTGGCATAATTTTAAATGCCCTTTCCAGCTGGAGGTCCATGGAAGTCAGGGAGCTCCACTCGGGTGGAAAAGTCTATTAAGAGGGTGATTTGTTCTGGCCCCTGAGCACCGAGTGTTTCCTGCGCGCCCGGTCCCACCCCCGGTGCTTGCTGAGTGCTGACGGTGGGCCTCCAGTGGCTTCCCACCCCCCCCC